CTTTAAATATTTAAATAAACATTCCTATTTGGAGGAATTTAATTGTTGACACTGAATTTATAATCTCATGTTCTCTTTAAATACAGAATATCCTTAACTTTATTACTGCATATTTAACTAATTATTCACAGTATTTGTTGTTTTTGTGAATTTTATTAATTATTCGCTGGATAATCAATTTATTTCATATTTTTCTCAGGAGAAAAAAATCTCTCTAAGCATAATGGAACTGTCAGTTTTACAATTAATATAATGTGTCTTCAGTAGAGCATTGACCATTGGGACTTTTATTTATATTTTTAAAAATCATTACTGTCATCATTAATAATCTAACTTTTAATGTAATTGTTCAAAAACGGATAGATAATCTGAATTACTTCCTTGACAGCGTGCTGTTTAGCGCCCTCAGGCATCTAGAGTGGACTCTTAATCATTAAAGATAACCCTAATGAATAAAACATTCAGAGAGTCAAAGTGTGATAGTTATTTTATAGTGACTCCCTCATGAACAGATGTACAACGACATGCACTCAGTAAAATTGAGTGGTCAGTAAGAATGTACTCCAGTACGTGACAGCCAATTGAGGATGGAAATCTTCAGAATGTTTACATTTTCAAAAACCGATATGAAGCTTAAATATAGGCTTGCAATATAATTTGCAAATACCACTTAAAAATCTATAGTCCTTTAAAATCAGTCGCAACCTACTTTGCTGTCAGTAGCCGAAGTACAATACATTACATTTGACGTGGAATCACCTAACACACCTGAAAAGATGGTTTAAGACATGGCATGCATTCTACTACTGTAAGCGTGCTCCATCTCTAAGCACGTCTATTTAAGCATGCATCGATTGATTCATGAACATTAATATAAAGTGGACAGGAATGTCTCATTGCTCTCCGATATTTGCATTCTCGTTGTCACAACGTTGAGTTTGTGCTCACTATCAAAATACGTTGTGAATTTCTGCTGTTTTTAAAGTCAACATTGACTATCATTTTGTAGGATTTGTTTTTTTTTCTATGTCTATATTACAGTATTCTTTCATAATCATTTTCAATGTTTGATGTGGTGTTGTTTTAAAGCATTTGATAATTCCGCATTAGCATATAATCTGAATGCTATTATTTCATACACTATAAGCTGTTTCATACAAATTTAATAATAATTTACTTATATAATTATTGTATTTTTTTTCAAAATTCCAATATTATCCTTATAATATATAATTTCCATTGTTAGCTTTGTGATTACAGTTTTGTAAATTAGTATTTGATGCACATGAGTATCCAAGTTAATGTAATGGTTTGGTTACTTGATTCCCTTCCGCTTCTCATCAAATTCATTACATTAGTTTGCGATTGGAAATTTATGAATTATTGCTAATATGAATAATAAATGATTATAAATGATTAGGTACTATGACTTTTGATTAATAATATCATGAATATTCATGATTATGGTGGTACAACATTGTATTTATGTTTGCCATTTTACAAATGATAAAGTTAGAATTTTTGATTCTTGGTTATCCTTTCATTTCATTTATTTAACCGAAAACAATTACAATATAGAAGGATAAAACAGCCAAAAAGAACAAAAAAGATACAATAAATGTTGGGACAATTTGCGGGGGATGGGGGGCAGAGCCGGCTGGGTCCCCCCTTGAATTTGCCACTGATTTGTAATATAGTTATTAGATAGTAGTTGTAGTGGGTGTAATTTTTGTAATTTTTTTTAAGGTACAATTTGGCTTCTTGCAGTTGAACTAGAAATGTAGGAAAAGGTTAACAAGTACAATATCTGAAGAATGTTTTGTCTAGCCTCAGCAATAGAATTCTAGTTCTACGGTAAAGTCCAATCTAGAAAGATCAACACAGAAGGTGTTACACCAATTGTTTGGATAGCATTTTTCGTTTATAAGCTTTCATAACTTTTACAACCTAAATTGAATAAAATATCAGATTTCTTTAAGGTGGCACCACAGGATTTAATTTTGTTTTAAGTATTGTTCGTAATACCATTGTGTTTTATAAAATAGAACCTGAACATAACCTTTTAAATCTGCTAACATAACACCAGAAAATGCTTGTGGTGAGATTTAATACCATACAGTAGGCATTAGCGTCCAACCACACTGAACTGCTTGTGTTGTATGTAAGTAATTTTAAGATTCTAATCTTTAATAAATCTTTAATGATAATTATCAAAATATGGTCTAAGATTTGCAGCAGACAAAATGTCTGCTGATATAAATAATATAAAACTTTAATATAATATGCACACTCCACCAAGCCTAAAAAAAGAAGCCATTTTGACATTGTATGGTTCAATATTTCATAATTGTAGTAGCATAAAGATTCAATATCAAGTGTAGTGCTAGTAATAGATAGAGGATAACCGTATATAATTAGCCTGATTCTGTTCACCTTAATTTACTACCCAGTTAAAAAATATATGGGTAAATGTTGATCGATTGAATTATGAGGTTAATTATTCATCTTCCCATTACTTTTTTTTGCATTCTTCATTCTGATTGGTTGAAAGGATGATTGATATGGGTGCAAATTCAAAAAGGTTAATATCTATGTGCTTGTTAATAGTACAGAGCAGTAAACAATCATCAGAGATATAATTTGAGACATAACTGTTACATTTTACTCACATTTACTGTAGTACAAGTCAAAGAAGATATGAATAATTACAATTCAAGCTTCATACTGTGATTATAACATCTATTTTATAATTTTCAAGACAAGTCATGTTCATAGACACACACACACATTAAAATCATTGCTAGAACCTTCCCAGATCATTTGTTTTGTCCGCTGTCATTTTAGTAGAGCGTTGCTGGAATGCTGGTGAAGTCGAAGCCATTTTACTAGCAACAATTATATTGTGTAAAATTACAAAAAAAGTGATTTGCACCCTGCTAATAGCAGCTCATATGAAAGAGTACTTTTTTTTATATCTGAAATGCTCCTTTAGTAGCAAAACAAAAATGTACAGATGATTTCCAAATTGTTTCAGAAATTACAATTTAGGAATTGAACTAAGTTAGTTACAAAATTATAACATTAGAGTTTCAAACGCTTACAGCTAGAATACGTAAACTTTGGAATTAATCATTTTGTTGAGGATTTTTAAAGAAAATAATGTTAAAAATTATAGATATGATGATTCTACTTGTTTTTATTTGTACATTAATCACATTAATTCATTTAATGGTAATATTGACTTGATTTTCTTCCCCCCTCCCCTCCCCCCAAAAAAAAGAAAATCAAAACTACCAGCATAGTTGAGTAATATACGTGTATACTGAATGAAACGCTGCCAAACACTGCCCTCCCTGTTTGCAGGATTAGAACCCAGGTCATTCAAGGTCATGTACCTTAAGTACTTAGTTTCAATCCATTTATACTCTGAGGTTTTGTGTTATGTTCTTAAGATAAAATGTATTATTAAATGGTTTTGATTTTCTGAAAGATACAACACAAAGGTTTGATTCAATTATTTTTAGTACTAAAACTATTTCATTAAATTAATCATTCTGGTTCATAATGATATTATTACATTCAGTAGTGCACAAATGTAAACAACATATTAGCTGCAATAATTTTTTTTAAATGACACAACAATAAAACCTAAAAAATAAAACCTTTAAAATTCAGTTTATTCCCAATTCATTTTGAATTCTTGAAGCTCAGACTAACCAAATCAAAGTTTTTACTCCTAGTCTTTAATCAAGAAAACAAAAATAATAATTTAAAAAATTCAAAACAAATTTGTACGAATACTGAATACTAAACACTTTGAAGTAGAATTTTAAACTCTTTTGTTAGTAAAAATATATTAATGAATAACTAGAACAACATGTTGAGTTTATGGTAGATGGAATGATTGAATAATGGAGAAATTCACTGATTGATTACTTTTTTTTAAATTTTATTGATGGATTTTCATTAACTTTGTTAGTTTAATTACATTTGATGGGATTATTGCGATGAAAATGTATCTGGTTACTTAATGTTAGAGTAACATGAATGACAGATATTCTACACAATGTATTACAGTATATATTCTGAGAGAGAATATAGAAGTCAATATTATTATGAAATGCTAATTTTTTAAATTTAAAAAATTATTTTTTTTTTTTTTTTTTTTTTTGAGGCTTAGGGAATGCAGTTGAATTTAATTGTGAGAAAAAGTCCTGCTGTCACAGGACTTGAACCCTGGATCCTGATATTAGAAGACAAGCACCTTAACCTAACCCATTCCGTCACCTTTTATATACAGTATATTTTTTTAATTACAATGTACTGTATCCTGCTGAGTTATTTCTAGTTATAGAAATTAAATATTATTGGGTGCTAATGGTGATATATGAATAAATGTCTGGAATAATTATTATTACTATATAATGACTGACTATATGAAAAGAACTGTGTTGTAAGAGTTTATATAAGATCAGAAGAAACACATTCTCTAAGTATGAACGTTGATTATAATAATGTTTTAAACTACATGACATTTAAATATAGTTGACAAAATCATCAAGAATCTTCTTTATCTTTAATTAGATGACACCTGGTCTAATCCTTTTGTAACCTGGATAATCCCTTTGTCCCAAGAGGAAAACTGCTATGGCTGCTATTGTTGAAATTCTCCCATTTAGAATGAGTTATTCTTCACAGTAACACCTCTCAAATGCCTGTACCCCAATTTCAAGTGTGTAGAACTAAAGAATTCTACTCGTTGCTAAAACGCTTGTGTTCAATTCCTAGTACCCCTTGTGATTATATTATGCACAATGGAAACCATAGACAAAGGTGCGAGAAGGTATATTTGTGGACTAGTTTCTTTATCCCCAAAACCTGGTGAACTCTGAAGACTGCCATTCAAAAGGGTCATGCTGGCAAATAATTGATCTGAAATTTTGAAGGAGGTTTCATGTTGACCTGGCTGGTCTGAGTAAATTTGCTTTTCACACCTGTACAGATGTAGGGGGAGTGTATTGTACTGTCAAAGCAAGCGAGCATTGCTATTGGCTGAGAGCGTTGTGGAGCTGTGGAAGCTACAGGGATTGACTCATTGTCTTGTATGCTCTCGGTATAGCATAGGCTTAGTTCATGTTTGTCCTCAGCCAACTAATATTGCATGTAAAGTGTACAACATTGATTGCCTACCTGTGAACAATTCTCTCTGTGACATTGATGTAGGGATATTTTCTAGTTATTTTTTCTGTTGGATAAATACATGATCCAAAATGAGTTGGGATAATATTTGGCGAAATAAAGGTGAGTTGCTATCGTACACAGAAAAATTCTACTAAATTTCTAATTCTATTCTTAAACTAAAATATTTTTATTTATAAAATATTTGTTTTTCTTTATTGACTTGTGATTCTCACTTAGGCTCACTTGTTAAATTGATACTTTTAACATCACTCTCAAAAGAAACATGTTATTAAATCTTGTTCAACTTTGTTTTTAGATTGCCATAATGCTAATTTATTTTAAGAATTATAATTTTTAGATCCTAATTTTTTTTGGTCAATAATTCAAATAATTAAAAAAAATTAACTATAGAACATACAAAACCAAAACAGTATAATATATATTTTGATACCGAATAATAATAATAATAATAATAATAATAATAATAATAATAATAATAATAATAATAATAATAATTATTATTATTATAATCATAATAGTTCATTAATTTTTTTTTTTTTTCATTTATTTATTTATTTATTCGACTATATTGTTATATTATATAATACCAGTTGGAGTGGGTTGGTTTGTTGTTGCATAAAACATGTAAGATGGATATGGGATGGTGACATCCCTCCCAAACCACTTTGCTTTTGTCTCTCAGTAACTACAGTATATGCTCTTCAGTAAGTTATTTTTAAAATGATGTTATTGATGTATACCACTCAAAGTGGTATGATTCTGCCCTACATGGCATGGCACCAATAAATTATCATGCTAATTAATATTATTTATTGTTATTTAATCAGTATGAAACCTTGGTAATTTTACTATAAAAATCACATCATCGTTGGCACTGTAGTTGGTTAGCTCTCAGCGCTCACTCTTTTTTTTAGCTGAATTGTGCACTATATAAATCCACAATATTATATTAATTTTTTATCAAACTAATGAAAAATAAACCCCAAAAAATGATTTGATAATGGTAAATTAATGGGAGAAAGTTGTATGTAAAACAGACAGGTTATCTAATGAGTCCAGTGTGCATCAGCTTCCATCGCTCCATCTACACCTCACTACTGCAGAAAAAGACATGGCGGAAAAAAACCAAAATGAATAAGAATAATCTGGGATGTATATCTTTAAATTTAACTGAATTTCTAATTAAGTGTATTTGGCGAAGATGTTGAACTCTAGGATTTAAATTAAATATACGTTGACAGTTTCTTTGCAGTTAATGAGGGATATGAAATTCAATGTATACTTGCCTTCAAATTTATGCATTCTAAAAGTTAAAGATTATGTGAATAAATCTATAGAGTATTTATGATAAACTTATAATTTTCTTTAAAATTATCATTTAAAAATAACAATGTTTTGAATTTAGGGAAACTACAAGCTAAGGTAGACTCTTGAATTTTAATATTGAATTTAGAATCATTATAGTTGTATACTAACATAAACTGAAACAATGCTATGCTATGTAATACCTCGCTTTTTTAAATGCTGTAAACTATGTAAATACAGTTTTAAATATTTAAATTAATTATAGTAAAACGTCAATTTTACGAACGTCGATTTTACGAATTGTCGATTTTATGAAGTCTTTGCCCCTGATGACGTCATCATCGACCAATTATTACTGTAAAAAAAGTCCAATTGTGTACGTTTTACAAAGTGATACTGTATATTTTTCTTAATAATATAAAGTTTTTTCTTCTATTTCTGGTATAATAATCAATATATTAATGTAATAAACCTAATCAGAATAACAAACTACTAAGGACAGTGTCGTTGGATTGAGGGCACATGTTTACGATGACGAACGAGTGTTGTGGTCAGCAACTTATTGACATCGTGAATGCTGGATATGATCGCGAAATGCATGTAAACAACACAATTCAGCGATCTAACAACTAGAAAGAACACGTTAAGCTAGGCTCTAGCACGTTAGACCACGCTGCTGCACTGTCGGTTCCTGCTAGGCCTGGCTGCCGTCAGCCTATCGGCGCTCAATGGCAGGGGATAGCTAGGCCTAGGTATTAGAAACTGACACCCGATCTAGTTTACAAATTTTTAAATTTACGAACACCCCTTGGTACCAAGGGGTATGTAAAATGGACTTTTTACTGTAACTAATATTTCAATTATGATATAAATATATAGCACCAAAATTCCTAATCAAAATGTTCAAAGGCGCTTGAGTACCAAATATTTTTTATATAAATTTTGTTCCTCAAAATGAAATGAGAGCTTAAATTATAATTATATAATGCTCAATTTTATAATAAATCTCTAAAGTATAATAATTTTCATAATCCTATTTGAAGTTGCGTAAATTGTTTTTAATTTTTTTTTCTTAATTCGCTGCTAGTTTCCTGAATCTGCTATAAATTATAAATTTATGAGTTGTTTTTGTTCGTACCTGCTGAGAGGATTGGCTTGATATTGATGTGTAAGAGCTTCCTTTTCTTCAGATCACCTGCTTTCAGCGAGTGTGAAAGGTTTAATTGGGAAATTAGCAAGTCTTTGTGGTATGATACGATCTACCTGGCCCTTATTGATTAACCTGTACTTATTAACCATAGAGAGCTTTGGTCAAAGCCTTTCATCAGCCATTTACTTGTGTGTTTGCAAGGTGAATATTAGGAAGTTGTCAGATAATCAACATTGCTTGAGTATGAACTAAAGTGTGATGTGAAGGAGAGTTTATAACTTGATCATTTACATGGTTTACATTTACATGTAAACATATTCAACATAATAAACAATAATTTATTTTAACATAATACAATAATTTATCAAAAACTACATTTTTCCAGGTGTCATAATTTATAAAACTACATTTTTCCATCAATGGTGGAATCCTCAGTGAATGAAAGGTGCATTTAGGATTTTTTTTATGCTGTGTATATTTTTATACATTACTGCAAAAGTTTGCATATGTAACAATTAGTGTGGTTCTCTTTCTGATTTTCAAAGTACAGTATCTTAGGCCAAGTAACAAAAAATCCTTGTTTCCCATCCTGGGTTTTTTAAAAAGTTGGTGTGGGAGGCACTTATTATTTGATATTTGTTATTTTACACAGTTCGTCAAATATGCCAAAGCCTGTCTCTGTGTAGTAAAATGTGTTGTAAACAAGTTGTCAATAGTTTTGTCATTGCTTGTCTTGATGTTTAGTGTTATCATGGTCTTTGTGTTTAAAAATGCATTTGTGAACTATAAAATGCGTAAGCAATTGAAAATTTGCATTTTCGATGTAAAAAAACCCAAAAAGTTTAGGAATAACAAAAAACAAAAAAATTCACATGCCAAAAAATGGTAAGGGCAGGGATGGTAAACAAGGAATTTTTGTTATTTGGTCCTAGTAAAGGCTGATAGTTTTAGTATTTAGGTAGTATGATATGATGATGTCATCAGTGACTATGTGATGTAGGCTGAAATCATAAGTCTTCATGTTAGATAAATAAGAGAGATCTTAGAAGTTATTGCTTTAGATGACAGCGGCAAAGCTGTATTAACGAGGATGGAAAGATGATCAGGGAAATGGAGATGAAAAGGTCAGAGGAGCGATCTAATTCAACATGATCGGTGTCTCTGAGTTTAAGGAGGACACTGAGAAAGGACAGATACATGCCACTTATAACTAGGCCTAGTAAATATGAATATTTTAAAAAGTATATTTGATACCTGTTTTTAAATACTTGTAATTTAGACTGGCTGCTGTTATTAGAAATTAAGTGATGGTATTGGGTAACAATTTAAAAATATATTTGTCATTTTCAATTACTTAATAAATATTTGAATAGTTTATTTGCTATATTTTGTGAATTGCTTTCACAAAACAACGAAGAAAATAGAATGCCAGTAATCCAACTTAATAATATGTTCCATCTTCTGTTCTCTTTGGATTAAGGAATCAGTTATCCTCCTTGTGTAATATATTGATATTTAATCTGTAATTTAAGTTTGAAAATATTAAATTGTAAGCGTTTAAATAATTAATAAGATTTGTAACTCAAAGCACTTGTCAAAGAGATGTTCGTTTATTATAACACATGAATTATTGCAACAATTTGTGAATCCTTGGCAGTTTGTATATTTCATATTCCAAGTAAAAAACTTCAGGAGCCCCATAAATTACAAAATATATACTTGAGGTTGTAAGCTGGGGTATTTGTAAAAATGAGCCTCTGTTCCCTTATCATGTATGTTTAGCAAATTATAGAATCATCCATTGGAAAAAAAGATGATTTATGCCTGTCCCTTGGAGAAAACATGCCATAGAAATGTACACAATAAATCTACCATGAAGCGTGCAAGCAATCAAATGTGCGGAAAAAAACCTGACAGACCTGAAATTGGATAGTTGCGTAGAAAGGTTCTAATTACTGAAATGAAAGGCATACTCTAAAACATTCTTATTTTAACCCTTTTCTATTCTTATTCATTTTTGTTCTGACATGTTTTCAGCAGTGTAAATGTATGGTTACCTGCCTGATATTTCTGAACTTGACAATTTTGTTTTAATTGTTAATTAATTACAGTAATAAATTCAATTGTTTTTCTTCCAATACCCCTTTCAAAGTCGACAATGGTGTAGATTTCCTCTAATATACTGCATTGAATGACAACGAGGCTCAGTCGCAGTCACTAATTCTTTGGTTGTCGTCAAATGTCCCAGTTTGTGTAAAGTGACTTTGAGTTCTCAATATCAGTCAGTTGATTCATTTCAATGTAGTCCATTTGTAATCAGCTATAGAGGACCTTCTACGTCAAGTAGAATTTTCATTTCTAATGGTTGTGGAATCGAAGATTGGCAAGCCTGTCTTTTCCACAAGTTGATGCAGGCTATGGTGCTGATTGTTTCAAGGGGAGTAAAGCTATTTATGAAGACTTTTCCTACCATTATGCCTGGTACAGGTATATTATCATGCAGGAGTACCTGTCATCTAAGACTTGGTGATGTCCCTTCTTGCTAGCAACCATTCTTCTTGTATCCATTACTAAATCCTTCGGTTCTTTCCCTCCCTGGTCTTCTAGCACTAATTTTCCTGCTTTTCCTTTCCTAGTCCTTCCA